AAGAGCACCAGCGCACCAGCAGGAAGCTGAACAGAAGGCAGGAGGTGCCACGGTGACAGAGACGGGATCCTGTTGGGCCAGGTACGCTTCTGCTCTGCCAGTGAGATGGAAAGGGACAATGAAGGGCCGCAGATGCCGAAAGCACATCTGTGCAGCCTGCAGCGTTCAGGCGAAGGTGGGACCTGGGCAGGAGCAGTCAGAACCAGGAGGGCTTGGGCAATAAGCTAGGACAGGCAAGGGCAGCTGATGCAGCCCACTCGGACTTGACAGATGCGCTCATCCAGGTGTTCATGTCCTTGTCACCGTGGACATCTGTGTTGCAGCCACAGAACCACATACTCGATTAGGAGGCCAGAACCCAGTCAGCAGTCCTCCTTCCCTACAGATCTTGGGGGAGGTCCATGTGCACTTGCCATGGGGTACTCGGACAGTTTGGTGAACCCATCACTGTAGTCCCACTGGGACGCCAGAGCTGAGCCTGACGGAGTAACATATTGGCCAAGACATATTTAAAAATTCTGGCCAGATTTGGTGGCTCACACCTGTAATCCTAGCACTTTGGGAGGGTGAGGCAGGCAGAGCACTTGAGGTCAAGACTTTGTGAACAGCCTGGCCAACATGGTGAAATGCCATCTTTATTAAAAATACAAAAAAATTAGCCAGGCCTAGTGGCACGCACCTGTAATCCCAGCTACTTGGATGGCTGAGGCAGGAGAATCGCTTGAAACCAGGAGGTGGAGGTTGCAGTGAGCTGAGATTGTGCCACTGCACTCCAGCCTGGGTGACAGAGCGAGTCTCTGTCTCAAATAAATAATATTGTAGCCTCTTTTATTAGGAGTTCCGGAGTTAGGGAAGGGAGGAAAGTTACAACCCTCCTCCCCAACTCCAAGGGAAGAGAATCTCATTGCACAGATGTCCTCTGTTCACTGGATTCTCCTGGAGCATTTCTAATGCACACAGAGCTGCTACAATCATAGTCATTCTCGACCAAGTACCCTGGGTGAAATTCCTTTATTAACTGAAAAAACTTGTTCTGAGGGCTGACTAGACACACTAGGGACAAGGGGATGCTTTCAGCTGTATCCTTTCTGGCAGATGACCTCCACACTGGTGGGGGTAACGAGAGCCATGGTAGAATTTAACCCACAGTACCCTAGAAGCATACAGGAGAGCACCCTACCCACACCTGAAGGGTGTGTGTGTGCAAGGGTTTAGTCAGGATAGACTCTTGGAAGAGGGGAGGTGTGGGCGGCAGGCACTTTGATTCCGCACAGCTTACAGCCCAGAGAGCGGAAGAACAGGAGAAGCCAGATTCCCATCCTCAGTCTGTTGATTTCCACACTACATTTGGAGTCTGATCAACTGCACAGCTGTGTTGCAGCCACTAACAATGCTGCCTCTGCTCTGTTTGCCTCTAGATTCTTCTTATCTGTTAAAAAAAAAAGTGAGGATGGAGACGTAATTTAGGGCGGGGGTAGATTGCAAGTGTCTCTGTGATAGGGTAAAGTGCCTCCTGGCGGAGCCCTAGAAACTGACGGTTAGCTGTGAGGCAAGGGACTCCAGGGCAGCTCCTATGGAATGTGTTAGAACTTTTCAGGGTGGCTATGCCCTGCAAGGGGCCTGGATCTCACACAGATGGACGTGGTGTTGGGACCAGACTGACTGTCCCATCACGGAATAATATCTGCATCTCAGCAAGGGGAACATAAACAAAATATTTTGTCATGAGTTTAAAGAGGCCTGGCTTTGGAGTCAGAGAACCCGTGTATGAGTCCCAAATCCAGCCTTTTCTGCTTCAGCGCCCTGACCTCTTTCAGCTTGGTTCCTTATCTGTAGATGGGGATTTGATAATTACCTCTCTGGGTCTTTGGGAAATCAACACTGTACGTGCATGGCACACAGTAGGTCCTCAACACCCAGGCTCCAGGAATAGCCATTCACACTCTGCCATGTTAGGGGCACATCAGCGTGCGGGCCAGCAGGCCAGAACAGTGTGAGTCCAGTGTACCCTACAGCCAAGGTTCAGGCTTGGGCTGCTGGGCAGGACCAGGGCCATTTCCATCTTTTCTCTGTTATTGTCCACATTTCCAAAGCAGACGCTTCTGTTCATATGCAGGTGTGCCATGCTAGGAGCTGTAATAATAAGCTGTAGTGAATGAAGCTAAGCCTCACAGTCCACTCTGTGGCAGGAAGGACCAGCTGTGAGGCAGATCCTCAGCCCACATCACTTCATGCTACTGAACCTGGGGCCATAATTCCAAACTCCACACTCGCACAACGATGAGTCTACAGGAAAAGAGAGATCGATGTCGTGTATTTTTATTATAATTTACATTTTTATTGTATATATTTGAGGTATAAAACATGTTATACACACATACACAGTGAAATAATTGTTATAGTCAGGCAAATGAACCTGTCACCTTCCTCAGTTACCTTCCTGCATCCTATTCTTTGCAAGTAAACTTATCCCAAAACCCTACTCTGAGGTGAAATTCCAATTGGTTCACCCACTGGGGGAATTTTCATGAATCCCCATCATGCTATTGAATAAAAATAACAAAGCCACTAAGTGTGCCTTTTGATCCATGTGCTCCTTAGGTAAAGTAGAATTTGCTCTCCTTCACTTGACAGCTGAAGGTAAGGAGGAATCAGGCAGAGGGGGATGGAGCAAGTACAGGCCAGACAGAGGGAAGTGGGGGTGTGAGGTGGTGGACATGAGAGGGAGAGCGAGAGAGTGAGCACACACGCTAGAGAGAGAGTGCAAGTGTTGGCCGACTGATGAACACAGAGAGGTCTAGAATGTGGAATACTGAGGGTGGGTGCAGCAGGAGGTGTCGTCTGCTAGAGGATGCATTTGGGGATAGCCAAGGCCTGATGGCTGTAATCCAGGAGGCTGGAATTTATCCTAAAGGCAGCAGGCAGCCCTAGTAGAATTTGAAAAGGTTTGACATGACCAGATCAGCAGTTAAGAAAGGTGCCTCACGCACTGGGACAGAGAATGTGTGTAAGGGGTCAAGACTGGCAGCAAGAGGATGAGCTATGAATTGTTGGTGGTCATCAAGGAGGGAGATGAGGGTGACTGGACTGGGGAACTTCCTGTGGTGATGGAGAAGAGTATCAAGATCTCACTTAAAAAGACTTGGGAGGTTGAACTGGCCAGGCTCGGTCACCGTGGGGGTGGTGAGAGAGAGGTAGCAATCAAGGATGGCTTTCAAGATCTCTGGCACAAGCTGCTGGGTAGAAGTTGGTGCCTGTCAGTGAGTCAGGCAGCACAAGAGGAGGGGCAGGTGTGCTGAGAGTGGGGATGGGTGGGTTCACTTTGGGACACGCTGAGTAGTCCTTGTTCTTGGACCTAAAGACATATGAGTTGAATGACTTCGCAGAGCTGCCCTAACCTCTGTGTGCCTACCACACCTCATTTGTAATAGGAGAATAAGAATAATTAGAAAATATGACTAATTTGTTTCATTTGTTGAGTCTAGGAGAAGGTTCTCCTTTTATACTGCAGAGTGGTATTTTCTTGTGAGCTCCTCCCAAGTAAAATGGGACTGTCTCAATTTGCCCATATAGTGGCTTGATTTTTACCTATCTGCTTTGGGTATCATCACCATTTGGCATGTATTGCCAATACTAAAGAAGTAATACATGTGATAATAAACACCTGTTAATTTGAATACATAAATTCAAAGTAACAGGTGTTTATTATCACATGTGTGCTGTAATAGCCCATCAGCCTGTCCTTCAGGCAAACACACTCTCCCTTCAAATCGTCTAATCTTCCTCTTGAAGCCCACCTCTCCCTCCAGGGGCTAGGTAGGGCCTTTGGGACCAAGGATGTCTAACATTCTCTTCTTTGAGAAGTCATCTCCCACTGTCCAGGAGGCTGGATGGGAGGAGGTGAGTGCAACGGGCCTGTGGGGTTGTCAGCGCAGAAAGTCTGTAGACTCGGGGAGGATCGAGTCACATGTGTACATTTGGAAATGACAGTGTATGGCTGCACAGCACGAAGGGGATGAAGCCACAGACACTTGGATTTAAATTGTAGCTCCACCATTTATTTCTTGTGTGATTTTGGGAAGGTTACTTAAGCTCTCTGTGGCTCAGTTACTTCAATTGTAAAATGAAATTAAGATAATATTCTAGGATAATGATTTATTTTCCTTCCTTCATTTAGACCACAAAATACTACTTTTTGAAAACTATAAACTGCTATTCATGAGGCGGCTTCTTCCAGGGTTAAAAAGGAATGTACTATCCGTGTTATCTGCTAGGACAGACCTTGTTGCATGTCACTTGATTCCTGAAATACGCCATGGCAAAGAAATCTCTGTGCCATCCTATTACGGATGAGGCGCGGTAGGCACAGAGAGAGGTTAGGCACTTTCGTGTACTGGGAAATCGTTGACCTTTATAGGACCATATTCTCCATGGGCGTTAAGAGAAAGGTTGCTGGCTCTCCACTCTCTGCGATGATTCCCAAATGGCAGACCTTGTTATTTTGTCTCAGGAATTATTCACTTAAATGGGAAATCTGTCCTCCTGAAAGTAGCTAGGCATACACAGAAACATTCCTTGTTCAGCTGGCTGAGACTTCCGCTGACTACAAAAAAAAACCCTGCCCCATAAATCTCCCCACTAAAACCAGTCTACTCCTTCCTAAGGAAATAAAAGACACGGCCCTTCACCCCTCACCCCAGTTACACTGCGACTTCCACTTCTGGGGCGCGCTCCCTATGGCAGTAGTCTGACTGAATAATTTGAATAGCTTGGATTGTTTGGTTTCTGTCTTTACCAGAGTGCATGGATCGCTCGCGCAAAAAAAAAACAAAAAACAGTAACCAAAATGAAACAGCAGGTGTCTGTTCTCAGGGGCGCGCCCTAGCTCAAAACTCTCAGCCAATGACAGAAGGGGGCCGGACTCCTCCCATCCCGCCAGCCCAGTTCCACGTCCCCCGCCTGTGAAGTCACATCCGCTGCCTGGTGTCTCTTCCCGTGACCTCCGGAAGGACTCGCCCCGTCCACGATCCACGCTTCAGTGAGGATCGCTCTGGGAACGCCGCGAGGCTTCACGCCTTATACCCTTGCAGCGCAGCCGGGCGGCGTGGGTTATAAGAAGCCACTGAGGCGCTCTAAAACAGACACCCACACACTTCCTCTCTCGGCTGCCAGACGGCCCGCCGCAGCCAATCAAAACTACAGTTTCTGAGCCGCCTCGCATGCCTGTGACGTCAACGAGAATGAGCCGCCGCTCCTTTCCGCGCTGTGGCGCCTCTATCCTGCCAGAGGGCGACTCCTCTCGGTGGTCTTAACCCATCAATTCTGAGCGGGCCGCGCTGCGTTTCCAAGGCCAAGGAAAGGAGGCGCCGCGCTGGTGCCTGGACGGCGGGAACCGGCTCCGGAGCGAGAACGCGCGTGAGAGAGCCCGAGAGAGACAGAGCGAGCGAGCGCGCGGGAGAAATTGAGAGCGAGTGGGGGGGGCGGGTGGGAGAGAGACATCCATAGAGACAGAGCGAAAGGCCGAGATCTAGGCTGCCCCTAGCACAGGCCGGCGTGTCTTGGGACTCGAATCCCTGGGTTGGGCCGACCGAGGAGCGGGGCTTTCGGAGGAAGCGGGTGGTTTTCGCCGCCGCCCTTAGCTCCTCACTGTAGGAATGCAGTCTAGGGGTGGCGTTGTTCTCTTTCCCTGCTTGGGGGGTGGCCTTTTTCAGCGGAGAAAGAGGATGCCGAGACTTCCCGCGGGCGTTTGTAGCCGGCGGGACTACACTTGGGCTGTAATCATTGTTCAACAGGTTTAGAAATCACCGTGTTCTTGGCATCATCTCCTTCCCCACCTCCTCTCCCGCCGCACAGCAGGAAACACCGCGACTGGAGGGTTTTCAAGGAAGACTGCGTTGCCCCTTTTGAAGCAAACCGTCCTGCAAACCCTTTCTAGGACGTGCGACAGAGGGAGGGTCGTGATGTGACATATGAGATGTGCGTTTGATGGGCACTGTGATTCCTGCATTCCCGCGCAGTGAATGGCCCAGGCCATTTGTGTCCAGTAGCCGCACAAGCGGTAGGGTGTTAGGTTTAGAGAAGGAGGGCCTCTCCGCCCTCCACCTTGCTGGAGTACAGGCCACCATGGGCGGTAGCCCTCTGTGCCATCAGAAATGTGGTGCTCTGAGTAGTCATGGATTTCCAGCTGCATCTCCAATGCCATTTCCCTCTACTGACATATCCCCGTTGGGTGCGTTGGATTTGTGCGTGGGTGTGAGGGTGGTTTGGTGTGTTTGCTTGGAAAAAAAAAAAAAAAAAAGCGAATGGCCTTGCTTGGTTGGGCTTATCAGGGCACTAGCAATGGAGAGAGAAAGGACTTCTATATTCTTAGGAGCAGAATTTCAACAACTCCCTGTCAAAGGGGCAGTGTGTCTTACCTGGAACGCTTTGGCATTTAATAAAATGTCCTGTGAACGCTTTTCATGGGGAAGCACTGTTTTTACTGTTTCTGGTTGGACAGTGGTTACATTTGAAATCATAGTTCAGAATTCGTGAAATACCTAATGGCAGTAATCCATTTCCTTTCCTTAGTGTGTAGTTGGAAGATGAATTGCAGATAAGTGTTCAGTTCCGGGCTGGGCAATCGTGCCTGGCACTGGAAATTTAGGTTCTTTAATGGAAAGGCCTGATGTGCTAAAAAAAAACCCCAAAAAACAAAAAACAAAAAACTATATGCTATTTAGCCTCTTAGGAGAATGTGAAGGTCAGGGGAGCCGCAGGTAAGTATATGTCAGTGAATGCGAATTAAAACAGGTGCCAATATAAAGTGAGATTGGTGTCACAAATAGTGGAGTGACTTCTGTATTTCAGCAGACCTCAGTGAGAAATGGTCACCACCACTGCCTAGATGTGTGACCTTCAGTGCTACTCAGAAGTTACTCTCTGATCCTGTTACCTCATCTGCAACTGGGGCAGATCATATATATCATACCACACCCTGGGAGAAGCTGTTCCTACCACCTGGGCTATGGTGGTTTGACGTCCTCTGTGTCAGAAGCCCCCGTGACTCATGCTTGCCACGGTTGTCTTTTTGTTTTGTTCTGTTTTGGGGGGCATGGTCTCACTCTATCACCCAGGCTGGACTGCACTGGCTTCAACCTCCTGGGTTGAAATGATCGTCCCACCTGAGCCTCCTCACTAGCTGGGACCACAGGTGTACAGCCTTGTGCCTGGCTAATTTTTTAAAATTTTGTTGAGATGGTGGTCTCGCCCTGTTGCTCAGGCTGGTCTCAAATTCCTGGGCCCAAGCAATTCTCCCCCCTCAGCCTCCCAAAGTGCTTGGATTTAGAGGTGTGAACCACCATTCCTGGCTGCTTGGACAACATTTTGTTTCTGACTGAGACTTGTCCTTGGGATGGGTCTGCATTGGGCAGTTCACTGAAGGCACCGCTGAATGGAGTGGGCTGTCAGTAAATACCTGGAGGAATGTGACCTGGCCAGTGAGGTTGTTTTCTTTTATAGGTGAAGGTGTAGCAGTCACTCGACCTGCACCCACAGCATCGACCCTGTGAACCCAGCGACCTGACTGCCTTGGTCGAGTCTAGGTAAGCTCCTTCCTCACCAGAGGAGACTTGCTCCTTGTCTTCCTCTTGCGGCTCTAGCCACTGGTCTTGGTCCCTCAGAATGTGGCCCTCCCTGGACTCCCAGTTGTACTCCTGCTGCTTTTCTGTGTACTCACCTGCTGGGAGACCCCGACGCCAGCACTGTGCCTCACTGCTATCTTCATTTTCTTCTTTCTCTCTTAAAAGTAGGCATTGCTGGCTTCACTGACCACCTGTTCTTTTGTTACAAAGCTGCTAAGAATTACAACTCCTCCACTCCAGACCCAGCAGGACAGAGATAATCTGTGTAGGCATCCAAAATATAGAACGTCAGTGAGCCGTGTGTAGGACAGACTCTTTCCTCAATCTGTGTGGCATGGTATGGCTAAGAGTCAGACTCTTTCCCCTGGCATGGCACGAGACTAGGAGCACAGTTTTTAGCACCCAGAGACCTTGCACAGATCTTAGTCATTTTGCTGTAGGATTCTGGAACTTCCAGTAAAAGGTCCATGTAGCCAGGCGCGGTGGCTCATGCCTGTAATCCCAGCACTTTCCGAGGCGGGTAGATCACAACAGCAGCAATTTCAGACCAGCCTGATCAACATGGTGAAACCCCGTCTCTACTAAAAATACAAAAATTAGCCAGGCATGATGGCGGCACCTGTAATCCCAGCTACTCATGAGGCTGAGGCAGGAGAATTGCTTGAACCCGGGAGGTGAGGGCTGCAGTGAGCTGATGTCGGGTCACTGCACTCCAGCCTGGGTGACAGAGCAAGACTTGGTCTCAAAAAAAAAAAAAAAAAGTCCGTGTTTCATTGGGATTATTAAATGAAATCTGTGTCTTTAAGTGGAAATAAATACATTTTATAAGGGGATCTCATGTCATGTTTGGAACATTGAAAAAAGCATCACATAGGACTGGCTCAATTTGTAAAAGAAACACAAAGCTCTTCCTGGCGCTCATCTCCAGGATGTAGTCTGGATTCACTTGCTTAGCTGTTCTCTTTCTCGAAGGCACAGGAGAAATGAAGCAAACAAGAGTGGGTGGTGCGAGAGGTGTGAGAGGTGCAGTATTTTCAGCATAAGAACAGAACTGGCCGGTAGAAAATGAGAGTAAGGAGTCGCAGCGTTGTACCCGATCCCCGGGCAGCTGTGGACACGCGGTTCAGCCCCCAGGACTCTGCTGTCTGAACTCATCCCTTGGGATGACTTTCTCACTTAGGCGTCAGGGGAGGCTGAACACCCAGAGAGGCAATGCCACCAAGGGTGTGTAAAGTTACTTGAGCTCTCCATGCAAGAATTTCTGCCTTTGCAACATGTAAAAATATGGATTCTGTAGAGTTGACTTGACATACTCAGTGAGATGTTTATGACGGGCCCCGTATTCTCCTTGTTTCCTTTGGTAGATATTTGTGAATGTGGATGTCCACTGGGCTCAAGGCTCTGTGGTGGCTGAACAAGACAGAGTCCCTGGCCTCTGTCAGCTCCAGGGCTAGGGGGTTGACAGACAACTATGTGTTGACAGCTGAGTGGGACTGGAGCCAGGACAGGGAAATACAGGGTGTTTTAGGAGCTTGGAGAAGGCTTCCGGGGGGAAGTGCTATCTCAGCTGAGTCCTGCAGGGTGAATGAGACGTGAAAGTCTTGCTAGGGGCCATGGCATTCCCGAACTACTATAGGCACCCACCACTACGCCTGGATCATTTTTATTTTTAATAGAGATGGGGTTACACCGTGTTGGCCAGCCTGGTCTCGAACTGGTAACCTCACGCGATCCACCCACCTCGGCCTCCCAAAGTGCTGGGATTATAGGCATGAGCCACCATGCCCAGCCTCATGATAAATGTTAATCACGTCCACAAATCCCTTCCCAGCAACATTTAGAGTAGCGTTTGACCAAAGGGGGCCAGTCACCAGGCCTGGCCGAGTTGACCGATAAAACCATCACAGTGAGGGATCAATTCCCAGATAAAACTATCACAGTGAGGGAACAGTTCCCAGATAAAACCATCACAGTGAGAGTCGGTTCCCAGAGACATCACCTTTCATGCTGCGGGTCTGACGGCTGAACTGTCTGGGTTCCTTGTCTCCAGTAGTCCCTCCTTCTCTTCAGTAGGTGCGTGAGCTGAGGCAGGAAACTTGAGGCTGTGGTGTTTTATGCAGAGATTTTTTTATACGAGATCTTTTCCCGGGGAGCAACTGCCTGTTGAAGGAGTGACGTTGGTGAGATGATGAAGGAAGGGAAGTCACATGTATTGCTGCAGCTGCTCCCCTCCGTACACACAGGGGACTTCTCTAGACCTCGTTGCCCTTACTGCCTCTGTCAGGGATCATGAGCGACTCCATGGGTGTGGTTTGAGAATCTCTGGATGAACCTACACATAGGACTGTAAAATGTTTCATTTCACAAAATTGATGGAGGGAGAAAGAGAAAAAAGCAGTGACTATGCAGCCTGATTGTCAGCTGACGTCTCCAGAATCTTCGTATTTCTTTTTTTCCTTTGAGGAAGCGTCTTGCCCTGTTGCCCGGGCTGGAGTGCGGTAGTGTAATCTCAGCTCACTACAGCCTCCGCCTCCTGGGTTCAAATGATTCTCCTGCTTCAGCCTCTCTAGTGGCTGGAACGACAAGTGCCCGCCACCACACCCAGGTGATTTTTTTGTATTTTCAGTAGAGCTGGGGTTTTGCCATGTTGGCCGGGCTGGTCTCTAACTCCTGATCTCAGGTGATCAGCCCGCCTCGGCCTCCCAAAGGGTGGGATTACAGGTATGAACCACCACGCCCAGCCCTCATTTCTTTCTATAAAGGTGGTGTTGGCTGGGCACAGTGGCTCATGCCGGGAATCCCAACAATTGAGGAGGCTGAAGCCTGAGGATCACTTTGAGCTCAGGAGTTCGAGACCAGCCTAGGCAACATGGCAAAACCCCATCTCTATAAAAAACAAAAAAGTTAGCCGGGCGTGGTGGTTCTCACCTGTAGCGTAAGCTGCCCAGGAGGCTGAGGCTGGAGGGACAACGGAGCCCAGGAAACGGAGGTTGCAGTGAGCTGAGATTCTGCCACTGCACTCCAGACTGGGCAACAGAGCAAGACCCTGCCTCAACAAAAAAAGAGGGGGGAAAGGGTTGTGAGGACGTTTTTCTCTCTGAGAATTAGCTTCTACATGTAGAAATAGATCCTGAGAGAATCCTTGTGACACCTGAAAATTGGCTGGGTGGTAATTGGGTAAAGATAGTTTTCCCGCTGGGCGTGGTGGCTCACACCTGTAATCCCAGCACTTTGGGAGGCCAAGGTGGGTGGATCACGAGGTCAAGGGATCGAGACCATCCTGGGCAACATGGTGAAACTCCATCTCTACTAAAAATACAAAAATTAGCCGGGTATGGTGGTGGGCACCTGTAATCCCAGCTACTCGGGAGGCTGACAGGAGAATCGCTTGAACCCGGGAGGCAGAGGTTGCAGTGAGCCGAGATTGCGCCGCTGCACTCCAGCCTGATGACAGAGTGAGATTCCATCTCCCCCCCCGCCCAAAAAAAAGGCCAGGTGTGGCGGCTTATACCTGTAATCCCAGTACTTACTTTGGGAGGCTGAGGCAGGCGGATCACCTGAGGTCGGGAGTTTGAGACCAGTCTAACCAACATGGAGAAACCCCACCTCTACTTAAAATACAAAATTAGCTGGGCATGGTGGTTCATGCCTATAATCCCAGCTACTCGGGAGCCTGAGGCAGGAGAATCGCTTGAACCCGGGAGGCAGAGGTTGTTGTGAGCCGAGATGGCACTATTGCACTCCAGCCTGGGCAACAAGGGCAAAACCCTGTTTCAAAAAAAAAAAAAACAAATCATTTTCCACACGTTTCACACATAAGTGTCTGTGTAAGATGGTGGTGGTGGCCCAAAGAATGTCGGAACTAACTCATAGGGAAGATAGATTTCAATTTCTGAAAGATTAACTCTTTCTGGTGTGTGTGTGTGTGTGTGTGTGTGTGTGTGTGTGTGTGTGTGTCTTCAGTACATATTCAAACTGTTTCTGATTTGGTTCTTTCCTACCCCTATGTGTGCTGGTAGCCACGATTTGGTGAACAAACATTCAGAGGACCAGTATCCTCTCAAGAAAATGAGTGAATTCTTGGCTTCCGAGTTTGTCAAAAGAATAGAGCCTGGGAGGCTGGTCTAAAGTTTCCGTTTAGCATTTAATGTCAATTTTTGGTTGCATTCATCTAAGATGTATTTATCAAAAGAATACAGAGAGAATACAGAGAGATACCCTTATTGCAAAATATGCCGTTGGGTTTTTTTACTTAGCCTACAGCAGGATTGACTTCTTTCCCTCAGCAGTACAGTTCTGTGAGCTTTACCACAGGCTTACGTTCTTGTCACCCCATCACCACAGTCAGGATGCAGAACAGTCCCATCACTCCAGGACACTCCCTGGAACTGCCCCATTGCGGTTACCCCTCCCTCACCCCTCATCCCTGGTGAAAAGTGATCTGTTTCCTTCCCTCTAGTTTTGTCTTGGGGAGAGTGTCATGTCAGTGACACCATATGGTTTGTGGCCTTGTGAGGTGGGCTTCCTTCTTTTGGCCTGATGAACGTGTCGAGTGAGTGTTGGATGCTTCTGTCCTAGGCTGAAAAAGCAGTTTCACTGTGTGGAAGATGACAGGTGTTCAGCCAGCCTTCCACCAAAGGATGTTTTCCTCTCTCCAGTTTGGGGCAGTTTTGCATCGAGTTGCTTTTACCATTCCGTGCGGGCTTTTTTGTGAACCTGAGTTTTTGTATTTCTCTAGGGTAGATCTCCAGGAGTGGGATGGCTGGATCCTATGGTAAACATCTGTTTCACTTACAGGAAACTGCCACGGTGCTTCTCCAAGTTTGCTCTGCTATTTCGCCCTCCCAGCTGCAAAGTATGAGAATTCCAGTCGCCCAGCATGTTCTCCTCGCTTGGCGTTGCCAGTACTCACGGGGTTAAAGTGATGTTAAATACGGTTTCATGTGCTCCCGTTCAAGTCTTTCCCCCATTTTCTGGTTGGGGCGTTGATTTTCTTATTGTGGAGTTTTGATAATGTGCCATGTATTTTGGATGTGCGATCTCAGTCAGGTCAATGATTCTCAAACATTTCCTCCCAGGAGTGCAACTTTGATTTTCTTTCTCGGAACACACTAGCTCTCACACAGCCAAGGTTTTATTTTATTGTCTTTGATGGATTGATTGATTGATTTTGAGACAGGGTCTCGCTCTGTAGCCCAGACTGGAGGGCAGTGGCTCGGTCTCGGCTCACTTCAACCTCTGCCTACCGGGTTCAAGTGTTTGGCCTGCCTCAGCATCCGCAGTAGCTGGGGACTAAACGCATGTGCCCCCGCACCAGCTAATTTTTAGGTATTTTGGTACAGACAGGGTTTCACCATGTTGGCCAGTCTGGTCTCGAACACCTGCACTCAAGTGACCCAGCCACCTCAGCCTCCCGCAGTGTTGGGATTATAGGCAGGAGCCACCGCGCCCGGCCGGACCCAGAGTTTTAAATTTTGCCAGACTTCTATTCATCCATCCTTCCCTTCCATGGATCGTGCATCTCATGTCATGTCCTAGCCTCCCCTCACAAAGATGTCCTCCTACGGTTTCTTCCAAAAGTCTTAGTATTGAACTTTGCCGTGTAGGTCTCTGAAGCATTTTTCCTTAACTGCACTTAAAGGTTGAGGTTGAGGCGCATCTCCTCGCATGAGGATACGGCGCCTCGTGTATCGTAAGGCTTGTCCTTTCTCCATTGGATTCCCTCTCACATCCGTGTCAAAACTCATTGGCCACATCTCTGTGGATGGATTCATGGACTCTGCTTTCTTCCATGGATCTACATGTCTACCCCTGTAATCCAGCAATCTCCATTATTACAGCTTTAGAGCAAATGTGAAAATCCAATAACGCGATCTCTCTAAATCCCTTCTGCTCTTTGAAGCATCGGCTATTCCACGTGAATTGTCGAATCTGCTTGTTTCTATATGTAAATGTCCCTCATGGATTCTGACTGGCAGGCACTGCATTCATTCTATACATCAAGTTGAGGACAGTTGACATTTCCCCTTCTTGGGTCTTTAAATCTGGGAACACATTGTTTCTCTCCATTTAACTAAATCTTCTTTGATCTCTTCATTACCGTTTTAATAGTTTTCGGCACACAGACCCATTCCATGTATTTAAGCTCTGTACGTAACCGTCTCACTGTGTTTGTAGCTTTTGTAAACAGTATTCTTTCTTAAATTTAGGCTTCCAGTTACTCATAGGATTGTTTTCCATGTGTTGACTTTCTCTCCCATGTCCGCTGCTAAGCTCTCATTAACGAGCACTAAGCTCTTACTGGCTCTGAGAGTCTGGGGGAGATACATGGGTTGTTCCATGTGACGATCACATGACCTACGAAAAGGCGTACTTTGGTTTCTTGCTGTCTCCGGTGCGTGCCGTGACTCTTCTGGCATCATAGCACTGACTAGGCCTCCAGCGTGATGTTGAATAGACGTCCCTGCCCGGTTCACATCCTCAGGCAGAAAGCATGCAGTCTTGGACCATTGAGTGGCTGGTTAGTTGTAGGTTTGACTGTTTACGGCCTTTTTGTGGGGGAGGAAGTTGTCTTGTGTCCCTAGGGTGCTAGTTTTTATATCACCAGTGGACTTTGAATCTAGTCAGATGGCTTTTCTGCATCGCTTGATGTGATCCCGTCATTTTTGTTCTTCATCTGATCTCTCAATCTGTGGATCACATTGATGGATTTTCAGGTGTGGGAAGAACAGTCCTCACATTCCCGCTGTAAAACCCCGTTGATCGTGGCTCATTCTGCTTCTCACCTATTGCTCCATTCAAACTGCTAGGTTTTTGTTGAATACTTTGGTGCCTGTGTTAGGAAAGAATATTGGTCTGTCATTTTCTTGGTATCCCTGCGGTGCTGGCCTCATAAAATCAGTGGGACGCATTCCCTCTGCTTTGTTTCCTAGAAGAAGTTGTGTAAGTTGGTGATATTTCTCCATTTAATGTTTGTTAGAATTTGCCAGAGAAACTATCTTGGCCCAGAGATGTCTTTGCAAATGTGTTTACCTGTGAATTCAGTTTATTTAAAAGATCCAGGACCGTGCACACGGTTCAGTGTTTGAAATCCATCCTCTGTGAGTTTCAGTAGCTTGTGGTTTTCGAGTCTCTGACCTGTGGAATGTGAAGCTGTAGAGTCACGTGTATTCTTACGATGTTGACCATTTTATGTTTTCTGTGTCTGCAGTGAAATCTCTTCTCGCGTTCCTGATATTGGTAACTTGTCTCTTTGCCCTCTTTTTCCCCAGTCAGTCCTGCCACGGGTTTATCACTTCAAAGAACCAGCTTTTGGATTAATTGAATTCGTGTATGTTTGAAGTCTCCTGGGGGTTTTTGCTTCTGTTGCTTAGCAAAATAAATTCTTATCTACAGTAGGAATTCGGAGACGATTCCCACAGGTATGAGCAGCCTTTTTGACTGGAAGCAAACCCAGTGGTCAGGAAGACGAACATGCAAAAGGGTGCGTCCCCCAAAAGGGTGCAAACGCTTGCAATTGAGTAAAAGTCTCCCTTGTGAATGGATGAAAATGAACGCTCATGGGGAGAGCACCTGTGAGTCACGCACTGATTATTCTTCCGATGATGCTTGGGAAGGGGTTGGAAAATGTCAGCGGGGAATCAACATCACCGAACGGCGTCGCATCCTTTTGCACCCCGGGTCACGTGGATGCATTAATTGGTATCATTTCTCACGTCATCCTCAGAAGAAGCCTAGGAGGGGGTGTCTGTATAATCCCCATTTGACGCACAGGAAGTGGAGGGAGAGCGAGCTTGAGTCAGATGAATAATCATGTGTTTTCTTGTTGTCTTGTCACCTTGCGTTGCAGTCTGGGTTCTGCCTGCACACATTCCTCGCTACCTTCTTGGTGTCTGAGAACCTCCAGCTTCACCACCCTTTCTAGACCCAGGGGCCTGGTGGAGCTTCCAGCTGGGACCAGACCTCCATGGATCCACTCCAGAAACAGAATCCAGCATCGCCTTCTAAATCTTTCCCGATGACAGCTGCAGAGACTTCCCGGGAAGGCCCAGCGCCCTCGCAGCCTTCGTACTCGGAGCAGCTGATGATGGGCCTCAGTAACCTGAGCCGCGGTCCTGGCCTCATTAACCTGAGCCCCGGTCCTGGCCTCAGTAACCTGAGCCCCGGTCGTGGCCTCAGTAACCTGAGCCCCGGTCTTGGCCTCAGTAACCTGAGCCCCGGTCCTGGCCTCAGTAACCTGAGCCCCGGTCCTGGCCTCAGTAACCTGAGCCTGGGCCCTGGCCCCAGCAACCTGAGCCCCGGCCCTGGCCCCAGCCACTCTGCGCCTCTCCCCGAGGGGCTGCTCCAGCAGCGGTACAGAGAGGAGAAGACGCTGGAAGAGCAGCGGTGGGAGAGGCTGGAGTTCCTTCAGAGGAAGAAAGCATTCCTGAGGCACGTGAGGAGGAGACACCGCGATCACATGGCCCCCTATGCTGTTGGGAGGGAAGCCAGAATCTCCCCGTTAGGTGACAGAGGACAGAATCGATTCCGATGTGAATGTCGATACTGCCAGAGCCACAGGCCGAATCTTTCTGGGATCCCTGGGGAGAGGAACAGGGCCCCACTTCCTTCCTCCTGGGAGACGCTGGTGCAGGGCCTCAGTGGCTTGACCCTCAACCTAGGTACCAACCAGCCCGGGCCTCTGCCTGAAGCGGCGCTCCAACCGCAGGAGGCAGAGGAGAAGCGCCAGCGAGAGAGGCAGCAGGAGAGCAAGATAATGTTTCAGAGGCTGCTCAAGCAGTGGTTAGAGGAGAACTGAGACGCGCACCCACCTGGGATGGAGACCCGAAGGGACTCAGACGGAGCCCGCGTGTTGGCAGCGGCCGGGCGTGGGACCGTTTTGGGGACGAAACAGCAAGCTGCGGTCGGATGAGTGCCAGGACCCGTTTACGGGAACACGCGGGAATCCTCCCAGCATGACGCTTGACCGACCGCAGGAAGGTCCTCATCTTTGGTGCCTGCCATTCTCGGATGGCCGCGAGGCATCCTGTGGCAAGGGACGCTGCGTACCAGCGGTCCCCGCCGCGTCTAACCTGCCTCCCGTGATGCATGTTGTCGCCCTCCCACCCTGGATCTCCGTCTCTCTTCCCTTCCTGCTGACCGTAAGAGATCACATGTCAGTGTAGTGTGAATGCCTTGTCGCCGTCCTATATGCTTTTGCACCACTGAGTTGACTGCCTCCGAGAAGCAGCACTAGGCCTGCTGAAATGCAGTGCGCTGCCCTGAGATCCAGTTTCAAGAACGGGCAGCTAAACACAGTGTGGGAAAGGGATGTGCAATGAGAACTTGCTGGTCCGCCGCTGTACTGTTTGCGTAAACTTTTATGTATGTGGTAAGCTACGTGTATATAAATGTCACCCTGCCCCTGACAGTCGAGCAGTATTCTCCCTTGCAGGAATTTCTGATGGGGTTCCTCATCACCAATACCAAATAAATATATGTAGGAATGGAAAATAGGTGTAGAATTCAGGTTTGTTCCTCCGTATTGATTTTTCTCGTCAGATCTGAGCTGGCTCCCTTGAAATCTCCCAGCAGCGGATCCGGGTTTATTGAGGGAAGCTCTACGCTGTGGAGACTGGGAACGGGGGAGGGAGGGCACCAGAGAACACAGCCCAGTCACTGGATGCAGCGAGACCAGCAGCCAGAGCAGCCAGGCAGCACCACGGCTTCGAAGAGAGGCTTCCTGCCCACAGGAGACGTGGAAGCAGAGTCCGCCGCCCACGGTGAGAGCCCTGCGAAGTTGCTGCTGGTGCTGGTGCCCCCGGCCTGGGGGATGCGGGGCTGGCCATTGCTTGCGGTGTGGTGGGCTCGGGTGGGTGAGCCTGAGCAGCAGTTCGCACCTGCTTCGTGAGAACCAGAGCGTCCTTGGGTTCTTCCAGAATCTTCCTGGGATTATTTAGACATCGGTGTCTTTTGATTGCGGGAGGAACCAACGACTAAATCTACCTTTCTTTTAACCTCTGCAGAATCCTGAGGTGTGAACCCAGCCAGTACCCGCATGACTCCTCTGAACTGAAAGCAAACTCCGCTTTGTGCCAGTCCGTTTTTAGGTATGCCCCAGAGCTGTCTCGCTGCGAAAGTCTGTGTGCCTACTGCTAACAGAAGTGGCTTGAAAACAAGTAAGTGTCTTAGATTCTGACGCTGGGATCTCGTGAGAGAGCTTGACAGTTGAAGTGACCCAGCTCCAGGGAGAAGGTAAAAAAGCAAACAAACAAACAAAAAAAGCAGGGCTTTTCCTTCTTGAAACACAAAGGCCTAAATGCAGACCAGTGAATTGGAGAGGGTTTCAAAGGGGCTCGAGGCATTGCCCTTTGGCTGATGTTTCCTAGGCTTCTGACAGTGTTTTCCCCACTTGCACATATTAGCTACCTTCCTCCACTCCCACAGACCCATCCTCTAGCAACATTTTCAGTTCCGCTGTATGAATTTGGAAAGCAGAACACCAGAGAAGTCAGGGAACCAGCCCATGGCACCGGCAGAACTAGCACACGAACCTAGGCAGGCTGGGATCGGAGGTGGCCCCCTTCAGCAGTTCACCTCTGCGAAGGCTGTGGCTGAATTGCCTGGAGCAGGGCTTTTGGTGGTCACTTCGTAGCCGGTAGTACCAAGTCTTGGCGAGACCCGTTGCCGAATCCTCCGCGCGGTGCCGTGGGACAGGTACGGTCATCCCCACCTTGCGGAGAGTTTGTGGAGGTCCTAAAGTGGTGGCCGGGGATGCATGCCTCTGTCTGACTCCCCAGCCACCGAAATGCTGTCTTGCAGACCACCTCAGTCAGCCCAGCAGGCACACCAGGTCCGTGATGCCAGTGACAGCATTTCAGCAATCATCAGGGTTTCCATTTCCTCACCCTGCCTCTGTCCCTTGCAGGCTTCGTCGACTGTCACGCTGGGGAGGTCAGGAGGAGGAGTCGCAGAGGTGGCCCTGCTCTGGGGGATGGATTGATTGATCAGGGAGAGAGATCAGACCCCGTCTCAGTCTCTGTCCTTCCGCTATATCATGAAATACCACAGGCTGGGTGCTCCGTATTAGCCGTGGTGTGTTTATCCCCACCAAGAGTCAGGTTGAAGTTTAACGCCCGGTGCTGCAGTGTTGGGAGGTGGGTCCTAGAGGAAGGTGTTTGGGTCATGGTGAGGATCCCTCATGAAGGACTCGGTGTCCTGTGATGCCCTCCTTCTGGGCTGAGTTCTTGCTCTCACGGGTATGGATTAGTTCGCAGGAGAGCGGGTTGTTCACAGGAGCCTGGCCTCCCCGGATTCTCTCTCCCTTGCTCCTTCCCATGTCACCTCATTGCACACGCCGGCTCCCCCTCCACTTGCCACCATGAGTCGAAGCAGCCCGAGGCCCTCCCCAGATGCAGTTGCCCAAGACTGAATGTTTCGGCCACGTTCAGAATTGTCAGCCAGATAAACCGATTTTTTATCTTGTTAAAAGATGTATTTATTTTAATTCTTTTAGACACAGGGTCGTACTCTGTTGCCCAGAAGAGAGCCCAGTGGCACGATCATGGCTCAGTGCAGCCTTGAGTTCCTGGCTCAAGCGATCCTCCCACCAGAGCCTCCCAAGTAGCTCAAGCCTGTGCCGCCATGCCAGGCGAAGTTTTAAGTTTTTTGTAGAGACAGCGTCTGGCTATGTTGCCCACGCTGATCTCCAACTTCCGGCCTCAAGGGATCCCCCCGCCTCGGCCTCCCGGAGTGCGGGGAGCCACCGGCATGAGCCACCGTGCCTGGCCTCCAATTTTCTTTAGAAACTACCCAGTCTCAGATATTCTGTTAAAACAAAGCAAAATGGACCAAGAAAGCAGGCAATTTGTGATGGAAACAAATTTATTTCTCACGACCCTGGATGCTGATTGTCCAAAACAAAAGTCCCAAGATCTGGTATCTGGCAAGAGTCTTCATCCATCATGAATATGCCTGCAAAAATCCCCAGCAAAATATTAGCAAACCCCAATCCACTTCCTCACAGGGCAAAAGGTGGAAGGGCAAGCCGGGAAGGATGTTATGTCCTCGCATAGCAGAAGAGGAAAAGAGAGAACAAACCACTGCCGCAAGTTCCTTTCATTCTCTCACGAGGGCTCTGCCGTGATGGCCTGAACGCCTGCCGTCATTCCACACCTCCCAACACTGCTGCAGTGGGGATTAATTTCACTGTGAGTTTTGGAGGGAACACAAACGTTGAAACCCTAGCAGATACACATCGTTGTGTGAGAGAACAGGTGGCTGATCCTGTGCGGTCCCGGTCCCGGGAGATGAAAGGAGTGAGAAGGATCTGAGTTGGAAAAAGCAGACATCGGGGGCTTGCTCGGGGAGCTCACAGATGCACAGTGCCACAGGGTCTTGGGTCTCCACGAACAGGCATGGAAAATGGGTGAGTAGAGGAAACTGAGGCACCCTGCACACGCGCCACGTCCTCACCTCCAGGTCTTTATCCCTATACCTGTGTTTGGGGGACGGAGGGGACGTGGGGGTCGTGTCTGCGACACCATCCTATCCCAAGTTACAGACTAGGGTGTGCAGTCCTGTGACGTCCACAGACGTCCAGTATGCGAAATTCTACAGCAGAGGCCGAACCCAAACCAAAGGCACCGGCAGGTGAGAAAGGATCGGGACAGAGAAAGGTGCAAATGCAATGATCACGTGGGACATCTGAGTAGACCTGGGGAGGGTAAGGAAGTAGAAAGACTACATTAAACATCTTCCCACTAGGGACAGTCTAGGCTCCGCTGCCTCGGTAGTGAAGTCTGTCCGACATTTACAAAACACGTGATACCAACTCTTCACAGATTCTTTCAGAATATAGAGGAGAGGGGAACATTTCCCAACTCATCCTCTGAAAATTTTATTACTCTGCTCCTAAACCCAGACAGAGGCTGGGGCGGTGGCTCACGACTGTAATCCCAGCACTTTGGGAGTCCGAGGTGGGTGGATCACCGGAGGTCAGGAGTTCTTGACCGGCCTGGCTAACCATGGTGAAACCCTGACTCTACTAAAAATAGGAAAATTAGCCAGGTGTGCTGGTGGGCACCTGTATTCCCAGCTACTCAGGCGGCTGAGGCAGGAGAATCGCTTGAACCTGGGAGGTGGAGGTTGCAGCGAGTCCAGATCGCACCTCTGCACTCCAGCCTGGGATGACACAGTGAGACTTGTGTGTCTCAAAAACATAATAATAAAGCAAGACGCAGACAGCAATAATAATAATAAAGCAAGACAGAGAGAGCAGAAGGATACCTTAAACCAACATCCATCATGAATATGCCTGCAAAAATCCCCAGTAAAATAGTAGCAAACCCCAATCCAATCATACATACAGTGGGCTATGCAACATGACCAAGTGTCGTTTATTCTAGGAATGCAGGACTGGCTTAACATTCAAATTTCAGTTAAGGTAATCCACCCTGCTAATTATAATAGAGAACAGGAACTAGATCATCATCATCACAGACAGAGAAAAGCATTTGACGGTATCCGAGGCCCATTCGTGATAAAACCATGCCTACACACAGACATGGGCTCCAATGTTCGCTGCAGCGTTTTTCGGGAAGGCCCCAGAGTGGAAACAAGCCAAATGTCTAGCAGTGGGTAAAAGGATAAAGAAGTGGTATATCCATATAGCAGAATGTTACTGAGCCGTGATGAGGAACACACTGCTGATGCATGTGGCAGCGTGTTTGAGCCTCTTAACACGTTATGCTAATTGACAGATGTCAGACACAAAAGACCACTTATTGCACGAGTCAGGTTACAGGAAATGCCCAGAGAGGCAGCTCTACAGAGAGAGAAAGTAGCTTACTGGTTGCCTGGGCAGGCCTGGCGGTAAACTAACGGGGATTGACTGCTGCTAGTGGGTCCCAGAGACCTTTCTGGGGTGATGGAAGTATTCTGAAACTGGATGGTGGTGAGGGCTACAAAACTGTCAATTTACTAAAACTCACTGCATTGTTCCCTTTACATACGTGAAGTTTGTGGCAAACAAATTATACCTTAGTTAAGAAACTAGTACAGGCTGGGCGTGGTGGCTCACACCTGTGATCCCAGCACCTTGGGAGGCCGAGGCGGGCGGATCACCTGAGGGCGGGAGTTGGAGACCAGCCTGACCAACAGGGAGAAACCCTGTCTCTACGAAAACTACAAAATTAGCCGGGCGTGGTGGCGCATGCCTGTAATCCCAGCTACTCAGGAGGCTGAGACAGGAGAATCTCTTGAACTCAGGAGGCGGAGGTTGCCGTGAGGCTAGATCACACCATTGCACTCCAGTCTGGGCAACAAGCAAAATTCTGTCTCAAAAGAAGTACTGCAAATGTGACCGTAAGTCATTGAGGAAAGGGTATGCAGTTGTTTTATTTATTTATTTATTTATTTATTTATTTATTTTTAACAACAGTAAGCAATATCCCCTCTCTTTCCCTCTTCTGCGTCCCGCGTACATGTCCCGCCTGGTCGCCTGCCTCCTCCAC